TATTGACCTCAGTTTCACTGTTATTTTGTATTTTCTTCAGTTTAGCTTCAGTGCTCCAGGGCCTCCAATCGAGCTCCGAATTTGACCTAAAGTTCCTTGGTTTTCGTGTTACGGTGGAAACACAGCCTCAGTTTCCATGAATTCCATCTCAGTTTGGGAATACATCCTATCAAGGTTTTTAAATGCACTTGAAAATGTGTCACACCTCCGTCTGTGTGGTAGTTACAAAGATGCGCCTTGGTGAGCATTTTCAGAGACAAAAGATTATTTACTTCACACACAAAAGTTAAGGTTCCTGTACAGTAGCTGGAGAAAAAGCAGTGAGCTCATGAGGCAGCTCCTTTTTATTTTAATAGGAGAGCTTATTCATGACAATAAGGGTTCAGCAAAAGCTTTTTTACATTGAGGAGGTTTCCCTCGTCACTACAAACAAACAACCAGGAAACAAGTTAACAGGAACATTTTTAAATTGTATTTCATGTTTTATTTTAAGTGTCATGGGTTTATCAATGAGGAACATGAGATGGAGAAAAGCAATGGTTACGTATGACGTTGGAAGGACGTTGTAGAAAGAAAAATTCTCACGATACCTTTTGATCTGCAGAGACGTTATTAGCTCAAAGCAATCCCAAACGATGAAGGCTTCAAAACATAGTCTCAAAATTAGACTATATAACAATTGTATGAACTATATCTGTGTGAACATTCTCAATGTTAAAGGTCACCTATTGTGCAAAATCCAGTTATTCATGTCTTTTATACATCAACATGAGTCCCCTCTGTGTAAAGAGATTCTGAAAGTTTCAGGAACAAAGATTCTCTCTCTTTTTGTCCTGATCCATTTATATAAAACCTGTCTGAAAATGAGCTGATCAGATTTTGGCCACTTTATGATGTCATAACGATTTTTTGGCTTGTGTAACCATTAGCCAATAACCAACCAATGTCGTAAATACAGAGGTCCAAAACATGCTAGGGGAGCTCGGGGACAAGCCCCCCCAAATTATTTTGTGCACACAAAAGCATTTTACTCTGGGCTCAGCAGGTGAGAAACTAAAGAGGGGCTTCCACATGTGGCAGACCAGGTGTTGGTGCTGTCGGATTTGGAACCCCCACTGTAACTTTGTCCAAGATATTCGTACTGCCACCAAAATCACACTGGTGTTTGCTGTTCACCTGTAGTTTGTGCACACAAAATAATTTTACTCTGGGTTCAGCATATATACATATATATATATTTTTATTATTCTTTGCCTTTCACAAGCATTAGCCTACATCATTATTTACACAACATGAAAATAACTTAATGTAAAGTATTTATTTCACCTTCCCTTATTATACATCCATGTGTACAAGTCCGGACTGCGGCTGTTTGTTGATAAATTGATGTTGTCTTCTGCTGTTTGCTTTAATGTAGGCTACTTAGTTGTGCATTGCCCCCACCGCCAGTAAATGGAAGTACTACAAAGAACCCTGTTAATTATGTGCAGTTATTTCACAAGTTTTATTATATACACCTCGAAAAAATTACCGAGGTCCGGACCTCGGTGACCTCAATGGTTGGTACGGCCATGACCAAGGTAACCTTATTTTCATATTTCATTTTCACTTTTGAAACAGGGCTGAAACAGAGGGAATTATGGGATGCTGCAATGATCTGTTTGGTATTTCGAGCCAAACACTTCAGAGACATGTTCTGTATATATCTGAGACCTACAATATATTGATGAAAAACAGTATAATAGGAGACCTTTAACTTTCATTTATTGACATTAATTCCTTTCACATTTGACACATTTCCAACTGATATTTGAATGGCAACACACTCACTAAATCCTCCCAGTAGGCCTGTTGGGACACGACTAGAACTTGGGTCCCTGAGGGCCTCAACTCTGCTTACTCACTGAAATCCAAGAACCCTTGAACAAAGCAGCTATAAAAGCTGCTGGGGAAAAGCCACCCTCCAAAAACTGCTAGGTGAATATTCAAGATACTACAGATTTCAAACCGAGGACATGGAGCTAAAGGTGGTGTGTCTTCTGACCCTCCTGGGTGTCTTGTTTGTGGAGCCAGGGTTTGGACAGAGAGGCGACATTGATATGAATGAGTGGCTGAAGGATAAAGTGGAATTTATCAAGAAATTGGAGGAAAGATTTAAAGAGGTAGAAGGACGGCAGAATGATTTTGACGCTCTGGAGACCAAGCTCAACGCGACTGTGGACGAGGTGACGAGACAGAAGGCTGAAATGGACAAACTGAGGAAAGAGAATGAAGGTACATGATTCATAAGGATACATTTTAACACCCATTGTTGGTAATGTATATGCTTTTGTCAAACATTCATTTTGTATTTCTTTATTTCTAGGCTTGCAAACAAGACTGAATGCCACAGAGGAGGAGGTTGATAAGCTAAAGCAGAACAGTGCTAAAGGTGAGATGACCAAACTTAGGTTCTATATTTAACACAATAAAATAGTCAGGTGATAATATCGAGATAAAGGCAATTTCTCTGAATATGTTGATTTTCATCTTTATATATATCCATTTCTTCATGTAATTGTCCACAGGTGGCCCTCAGATCGCATTCTCTGCCTCTTTGGCAAACTTTGGAGAGATTTACAAAGGACCCTGCACAGACAAGGCCCTGATTTTCAAAAGGGTCTTCTCAAACACTGGCAATGGTTATGACCCAAATACAGGTACTGTGAGCTCCTAAATTATGCGTAGATTATTTTAAGTTATTTTTTTGTCAGGGTTGTCCACTCACAAATGCTTGGTCAGTATCATTTAAAAGAAGATTTGTACGACACATTTGCCCTTTGGTTGAAAGTCTTCTTCAAAACCACTATGTCCTAAGGCTGAAGGCTTCTGGTATTTCAAACAAGAACAAACAAAGAGAGGAATTTGCTCCTTCTCTAGTGTTTTCTTATTACTTATATTAACCTGTATTGTGAAATGGTTCACTCAAAGTCTAACAATGTCCCCCCTAAACCCATGAGGGCTTAAATGATGTCACCTATAAGGGACTTGAGTGTGACCGGCTAGATCTTGAGATACTATAAATAGGAATAGGATGACACTTTGCAACATATCAAGTTACAATGGTGGCGCGAGTACTGTATGCAGGTTTTTTTGTTTTATATTTTTCACTTTCACTGCCTGACAGAGTGGACAAATGCTAATTTGTACACAAAGCAATGTACTATTTTACTGCATGACAGTATATTTAAGCAAAAATATAAATAGAGTGAATTAACTAGATGTGTATAGGCTTGGTTTTCTCAAATGTTAATGTGTGTTTTCACACAGGTTGAACACAAATTTGCCAGTCCTCCTTGTTTACCTTTTTTAGTTAGGGTTTCCTCTGGTAAAAATGTGTTAAAGTCACAATGCTATAAATTGTGGGTAATTGCCTCAGACCAAGTTTTCATAAATGTAAACACATGGAAAGTGTGCATTAAGGGCTCAACGTGTCTTCAAAAGGGCATTCAAGCACTTGATGATTCAATGTTCAATTAAATGTATGGGGCCATTTAATGGCTCGTCCAATTAAAGTGGACCTATCATGCTATATTTGAATAATATAGTGTAGGACCATACCTATATAAGGCATATTTATACTTTTTTTTTTTCAAAATACCAAACAGATCATGCATTTTAGCCATGCCTCATTTCGCTCAATTTGAAAAAATGTAGCTCTGTTTTTGCAAGGGCTGATTCTGTGAGAACAGCACCATCTACAGGCCTGGCATATGTACTACAGCGTCTCCAGCGCTTTCGAACGGCAATGGCCGTGGCTGTCTCCTCCTGGTTGGTGGAGTTGGCCCAATAGCCGTAGCGCCACTGTCCTGACGTCCGGACAGTGTTCAAATCTGGATCAGTTTTGATCAGATCCGTTGCAGCCCCTTTTTTAGAGATTTGGGTATGGAGGAAAATAGAGAGGGTTGTGTTTTCTGACACTTGGTGAGTTCCCTGGAACACCGGGGACACATATTCATGTATAAAAGACGTACAAAAGTGCATTTTGCATGATAGGTCCCCTTTAAGGTTCGCCTCCTGAATCCCCTCTGAAAAAATGTTATAGCAATAAACCTGAGTAACTTTGTTGCGTCTTTGTTCTGTTTCAGGAATCTTCACAGCACCAGTGAATGGTCTCTACTTCTTAAGCTTCAGTACCTATGGCTACAATACACATGTAATGGGGGCCATTTTAATGAAGAATGGCGTTAGTCAAATTTCAACCTGTGATTCCCCTTCAACTGACAGCTCGGACAGTAGCAGTAATGCTGTTGTTCTGCAGTTGGATGGTGGTGACAAGGTGTACATGGAACTGTGGGATAACGGCAGAGTGTTCGACAATATGAATGGACACACAACCTTCAGTGGATTTCTTGTCTTCCCTGTGTAAAAGATAGTAAACAAAGCATTGTGTTGTACTTTTAAACTGAAAGAGAGATGCTCTTGTAAAGCATAAAGCCTTTGCTGATGTGGCAAGCAATGTTTGACTGAAAATAACACAAGAAAACACATTAATTTTCAAGTACATTTTATTGAAAATGTAAATAAACTTACTTCAGAAGATTAAATGCCAATCCAACTTTTAAATTGTCTCTTTTCCTGGCGACTGCACCCTCACTAAAACATGAACCATTTCATCACAGTACTTTTTGAACACTGTTCAGTTATTGAATATATAGCAGCAAGATGCTCTATATTACACATATATCGAACCTTTTGCATGCCAACAACTTTGATTTCTGCTAAATTATATCAAGATATCAGGCTTTCGTGAGAAGAAACACTATGATCCCAATTATTTTTCAAGTTTTTCTTTCAAATCTCTTTATATTTAAGCTGTTTTACACCCACACTTACCACCTTAACCTCAGTCAATATCTCAAACTTTAATCTCTGTTTGTTTGGGAAATTAACCCCCTCCTCATTCTTTGTGATATTATTTTTGAAACTACAGTACCATTGGCCTTAAACCTCACAATATCTTACATACGGAAATGTGGTGGCAAACACAGCACAGATGCCCGTATGTCACTGTTCGGACCAGGCATATTGCCCATGTTCTCCCATCTCTTTGTGGTGGGATCATAACAATGGACCAACTTAGTTTCACTGAAGTCCTCATGGCTGTATCCACCCAGCACATAAAACTTTCCCCCCAAAACTGCTCCTCCTGCAGTTACATGTGGCACCGAAAGAGATGTGAAGGCAGTCCAGGAGTCAGCCACTGGATTGTATACCTCACAAGTTAGCAGGTCAGCCATACCCATGTTATCATCTGAAGTGATTCCACCCGCAACATAAAGACGTTCGCCCAGGATCTCCATGCAGTGATGGGCTCGAGGTTTAGCCATGTTTGCCAAATAAGTGCTTCCTGTCTCTGGGTGGTACAGAAACATAGATGATAGATGTTGGGAGATGCTGCTCAGCCCTCCTGAGATAAATATCTTCCCTTGAAAAGCCTTTGCTACATGGCCAGCCAGAGGCAGATCCAAGGGCCATGTGAAGCTGAAAGAGAAGACATCTTTTAAATATCTGACAAGTCAAATGTGAAGTGTCAGGTTATAATTGCATGCTGCAAACCTTTTTCTAATTCTGATCCCTTCCTCAATGTTAGATTGCTCAACATAATTCAGTTCACTCTGTTGCAACTGGATTTAATTTTATGTTTAGGTAATGAGAGATTTTGAAAGCACTATTTTTAGCAATATTGTACCGATTCCCTAGTTGATAGATGGTTTTTAGATAATTAAGCAACACTATACCCTTCCTTCATATATTATCTACTTTGTTTTAAATCAACATTCCTTCGCACGTACCTCCAAGAGTTCTCAGTGGGGCAGTATCGTTCCACACTCTCCATATATTCAGGGTCACAATGTCCGCCAATGGCATATATCATTCCATCTAGAACCACCACAGAGAAAGAGCCTCTGTCTTTCTGCATTTCAGTCAGGCTCTCCCAGCTGTTTTGAAGAGGGTCATACCTACAGACATGGTCAAATGAGACAAATCTAAGTATACAGGCATTAAATCATGTTTTCAAACTCTAACTGTGTCCTCACTCACCTCAAAACAGAGTTCAGGTTGTCGCTGATGCCGTAATAGTGCTTGCCTCCCAACACGTATAGTTGTCCTTTGAGGACTGCCACCTCATGAGAGAACCTCTCTGGCTCTGGCATCTCTGCCAACTTTTTCCAGTCCATGGCCTTTTTCCGCCCTGTATAGATCCTTAGCGCATTCAAACCCCAGAGTTCTCTGCTGATGCTGCGTCCCCTCAGGTCTTCAGAGATCTGATCACCTCCAATCAAGACTAGAGTCTCTTTCGGTTGATAGACCCGGCAATGACTCTTTTCGGAGCTGAAATCATCAAGAATTGTCTCATAGAGTGACAGGTTGTGATCGGACCACATGGTCAGATATTTGACTTCATTGAATTCCTCGACTGTCATCAGGGGAAAGTTGATGGTTTTCATTAGTGTTTTAGCAAACGGCAACCTTGTTTCGGGCTTTGCCTCGATCCATGCTACCACTGCTTTGAATACAACGAGCTCAGATGAAACACAGAGTGACGGACTCTTCAGGTACTTTAGGAGCTTTTTGGCTGACAAGTCGTTGAGCTTTGAGACGCATGCAACCTTTTGGAAATTCAGCAGGACGAAATCATCTGCGACTTCAAGAAGCTGCGGCATCTCGTAGGCCTCTGCAAAAGATGCCACATCCAGGCAGGAGTGAGGATTTATTTCTTGATGCAGAAAGTTAAGACACAAGGAGAGGGCCGGTTGGTATTGGAGCTGGAGAGCAGTACAGGTGATCTCGAAAACACATTTCCAGCTGAGGGGGAGAGTCCCGCTGTAAGAGCAGTCAATCAGCACCTCCAGCTCTGAAGCCAAAAGGAAAGGAAGGGTCACGCAGGGCTGAAAGGTCTCGATCATCCCAGAGGTGAACATGCCACGGAAGAAGTCAGTGCACACAGCCAGGATGACTCTGTGGACTGAAGGATGGACGATAATAAGTACATTATACACCAATTGTAATGCCAGCTAACATGAACAGGACTCTAAAGGGTTGATATACATATAGTAGGAAAGACATTTAATCTAAGACATTGTAAAAGTCAATTATTGTACTCTACTCACCATGAAAAGATCCTCCAGGAGCTTCCAGAATGACATCACAGCCTACTCTCTCCATGCACAGCCGTTTGATGGACTGAAGGCTGATTTTCATTTGTTCTGCTGCCGACATTTGTACCTCTTTTTTCTGCCCTTCAGTTTTTGTGGACTTTTCCTCTACCTCTTTGCAGAGATCCAGAACCCTAGGGGCACCCAATGATTGAGCCGCAATCTTTATCTGGTGCAAAGTGCTCATGTTCAAACACGAAATGAGTCCAGTGTAGGCAAACTCCACCACTGCTTTTAATCCAACGTGATCCACCTCTGGACCCAGAGACATTGACCACCTTTGGACTCCAACACTTGGTTCTTTGCTCTCATCAACTCTATGAACATGTCTTTGAATAAGGCTCTCTCGGATATAGGAGCAAACAGCAGCCAGGACAGGGGACTGTATGTTGAAAGTCTTCCCATCCTCTGTGCTCAAAATAAGGTCAGTGAGAAGGGAAGAGTCCCTGAACTCTGTCAAGGTGCGGAAAAGGTTTGTTGGATGATCACCTTTGCAGTAAATCTTCACCACATCTGCGTAATTAGCATCTGCTTCTTTTTCCGTCCAATGTTCTGCATCATCATCAACAGTAGACCCTTCCTTATCCTTCTGAAGCTTTTCCTGATCAACTTTGAATCTAGTTTCTTCCTCAGCTGTCAACTTCTTAGCTTTCTCTTCAAAGTTACACAATTCATTTTCTTCATTGACTGTCTTGTGTCCTCTACTTGAACTTTCTTGGTTTTCTTCAATGTTCTCCTCCTCAATTGTTCTCACATGTTCTCTGCTTTGCTCCTGTTGCTTCTCTTCCCCATCATTTTTCTCCTCGACAAGCGCTCCTTCCCTCAATTGCCTGTCTTCCTCCGCATCCACCTCATCATCCACCTCATGTCTTCCTTTTTCTTCTGCGTCCTTTGCCTCCCTATAAAACTCTTCTTTCTGCTCTTCCTCAATTTCTTCTGCTTCTGTCAAATCCCAGCCCACTAGGCACAGATTAGCTACTACTGCCATACTGTATCACTCTAACGGGCTAATCCCTTAAAACATGTACACCTGTCGAATGGAATAGATTGCACATCACTTACTTTTTGCACGATTTATGAGGAAGAACGCACAAAGAAAATCATGTTTATGTCCAGTAGTAATCCACTCTTTTGATGCTGGTGTTGCTGCTGAAACTCTTTTACCTTTAAGCTTAGCCGTCTGCAGACATCAGCTGTCTGTTTGTTACTGTCCTGCCTCTCCCTCCTCCTTCATGTGTTGCATGTTTGAGAATGGCATGTGTACCTCATGATTCCTATAACCACACAAGCTGTCATGTACACAATACTATCTCATAAGTAATCAAAAGTCTAGACTTTTTAGGGATGTAACTACTTCCCCTACAATTGTTTTCTCAATTTGTATTTTTTTATTTGTCATTTAACCTCCACAGTATATGTACATGCCATGCAATTCATACTTTTTTCATTATTATGTATTTCTTTTCGCAGCATATGTGTGTGGTGAGAGGTGTTTACATTTATACTGTAAAGATTTGACCCAAGCAAGTTTTATAAAAATGAATTATCTAGACCTAGAGGCATCTGGATTGGTGCCCGTCCGAACCAAAACACCTCAAGGGGACATAGGCTCCTTAAGTCTGGGCCATATGACTCTGAGATCATTATGAAATGCCTCGAGGCTTACCAGCGGGATCACATTGCTCCTCCACGTCCAAAGACAATGGAATCTGGGTCAAGGATCAAGAGATGTGAGGGAATTGAGGAGGCCGAAACAAAACAACGACACATAAACCTGTCGCCTTTTATTACCGACAAAGAAACAGCTGGGTCAAACTGTCACCTTGACTTGATATATATAGTTGTGCATGTCAGAAGTAGAGTAGCTGACAATAAACCTAGTATGATCTCTCCTTGTGGATTGTTTGAATGCCATGGTGTTGTGTTAGCCATACATTCATAACGGTTTGTTTGTCCTTCTTAATAACCTCTGCCTATAGTTTCAAACTCTGTTGCAGGAAAAAATCTCATTATTTCATTTTATCATTTTCAAACACTAGTATATTTCCAAAAAAATGTAATAGTAAGCTAATGTTTGGCTCTGTTGGCTGATTTCTTGTTGGAAGGTAGGATTTGTTTTGTTGATCCCTATCAATCAGAAATATCGGGCCCAATGTGAGTGTGACAGCTCTTGTAGTGTTTGCTACAGTAGGATCAGTTACACCGACAATGTTCACATTGATCAAGGAATTATGTTGGCTCGAGAATTGTTATTTCAACTGAGACTAACCTTGTCCATGCTTGACACCATTTTCTTGTGTTGCTGTTTTTTATGAATGTATGTCCCCATTCTTAATTCCACTTCTGAAGGTCATTACTGTCATTAAAATAGGTTACATTTCAGAGGTCTGCAAACAGCCTACACTTAAAGACAAATTCATTTTCCCTGATCAAATATCTTCAACCTTGGGCCTCTACTTGCTCTGAAATAACACTGGTTCAATTCTATCAACACAGTGAGTTTCTATTGAGGAAGCTTTGAAGTTGAAGCACTCAGTGGGCGAGTTGGAAATGAAACAGGTGGGCAACACATCGCTGTAAAACACACTCCTACCTGAGGACACAAGGACTCTGCTCCTTTCACAGTTGTTGACATGTGAGGCACTGCACACAAACACACACACAAACACACACACACACACACACACACACACACTTACTGTGCAGACACACAGGGAAGTTTAACCATCAGACAAGTGAACCCATATGCAAAAATGGAAGGTAAATGCATTTAAATAAATTGAGAATATTGTGACCCTTTGAGACATTCTGAAGTAAAGCATTTAAGTGCTGTAAAGCCCCAAATAAATATATATAAAGCCCCAAAAGCCTAGGGGGGTTTAGAGGATAGCGGATTTTAAATTCATAGCAAAGGAAACATGTTTGTTTACCACCATGTCCACATTCTGAGTTTGAAACCCAGCAGATGTTGCATCACCACATTCACATTATTATCACCCACAGTGAGTGCTTTGCTCTGGGCAGCAGCTCACACAATTTACTTATGAAAAGTCTGTTTCCTCTGCAGTCCTGATTGTTACCATGGCGACCCACGCAGTGAGAGGCGGAGTGAAGAGCGCTAACCTATGCAGTATGCATGATGTTCAGTAAACGACCAGTCCAAATCGTCAAAATCGAAGGATCCAATGTGTTTTTAAACGGAGCAGAAATAGAACTAGTGTCCCACTTCAAGTATCTTGGAGTCATAATGGACTCGAACTTGACTTTTAAGAAACATATTAAGAAAGTATCCAATACCATTAAATTCAACTTGCACATTTTTAAACAAATCAGACCTTTCTTAACTGTCAATGCTGCAAAGTCATACCTCCACTGTATGATTCTATCCCACATTGAATACTGTTTGACAAACTGGTCGTTTGCTTGTGCCACAAACCTGAAACCAAGAGAACAGCTGTACAAGAGAGCTATCGAGGTGTTTGACAGAAAGCCAAATTCATACCACCACTGTACCATCCTAGAGAAACACCATTTATTGAGTTTTGACCATTTTAAGTCTTTTAAAAGTATGTGTTTTTTTTATAAATGTTTACATGGACTGAACCCCCCCCCTCCCTTAGGGGAATTCATCCACAAAAAACACACTGGACGCTGCACTAGGTCAGAAACCAGAGGAGACTGTGAGGTCCACCATAGACGGACCACTTTTAGACAAAATGTCCTCTCCATTAAAGGCAGCTCTTTGTGGAATAGCCTCCCAACTGAGATACGGGATTGTCCCACTCTCAATAGCTTCAAAGGTCAACTCAAAGAATGGTTTAGAAACAACCAGACGTGTAATCACCGCTAAATGCACTTTAACACAGGGGTAACTCCTCTTGCACTTTAGGTAGCACTTTTATCTTATCTTGCACTTTATATATCGTAGCTGCTATATTGTACTGCCATGTGGTAAATGCTTGTATGCTGCTCATGCTCTTCCTGCATATCATGTATTTATTTTTGCTATGTATATAAATGTCATGTTCTTACTGTATATGTTGTGACGGGACTACGGATGGAAATGAGCTCAAAGCTCAAATCCGGCTCATTTACACTTGTAAGCATTATTTTGTTTTAAAGTGTTCATCAATGTGCACTGTCCCGATTCAAATAAACGATGAAATGAACCTCGTAATGGGACCCCCCCCTGGCCCTTTCATCAAGAGCAGCAAACACTGCTGGGACAAGAGGCCGAGCTACATTCTTATATTCTTCTTCTTCTTCTTTCTAATAGCCGCAGAAGTGATGATGCATTGTCTTCACTAATCAAAGCCTTTTCCTGCCATTTTAAACTCTGTAGAATCACTTTTATTCTAAAAAACAACAACTTTGAGTTCTATTTCGACATATTACGGAGTACGTTTTTCCGCGTTCAAGTTAAATAAGGACATCTTTACATATGCTAGCTTAGTTTAGGATAAAGACCGAGATCCTAACCTTTGGTCTGACCTCGGGTATTTCTACTAGCATCTCTAAATCTTACCAATTAAAGGCCTTTACACAATGGGGCCATGTTTTGTGTGGGTGTTTTATTCAGATGTCAGTGTATTTATCAAACTGTTGTTTTTGTACTGAATCCTTCTTCACCTAACACGAATGTTGTGCGGACGTCATTTTCTATTGGAATGAGCACGATTTTTCTTATAAAATCTGTAAAGACAAATTGTAGCTCAAAACTACTACCCTGCTGTTTCACACTGCTGTTATATACACACAGGAAGCTCTTTTTGTCAAAATACAATTTAGTTTTATTGAATTTCTATGGCTCCAAGAACACAGAGGCGAACACACAGATAACCCGTAAGACAGGCAACATTAAATGCTGGATAAACGGCTGTTGAACATGAATCAAATGAGCTCATACCTGATCTTAATTGCGAATTCATATTTCTCTACAAGGATGCAAGCAAATCTACTGTGGTTTGAAGTTTAAATACATACAAAAACAACATAACATTAAACATATATAGTACAGAAATGCCACAGGTTTTCCAATAATTTCATCTTGAAAAAGTAGTGTGACTGATTGTCAATTTCTTCTTAAATAATAACTCGTAAATATAGATATAACATAAATATTATCAAACACGATAGCAATCAACGGTAAGACTGTGTTTTAAGTGTTTAAATAACTTTAACATAATTAAGATCCCATCACGTTTTCTTTTGAGGTCAGCTTATTTTACAAGGAAACACAAAAGTACAGCCAGAAAGAAGAAAGAGGATCCACCTGTTTTTAAGTAAAATAACACTTAAGCCATCGTTTTCAAAACATGATATCAGATCTCATCTGCTATTGCTTTTTAAGATGGGGTCATGCTCAATTTTAGAACCATAACTCCCTGTATTTCAAAGAGAAAAGGTAAAGGGTCAAGAAGGTGATGGTAGTGCCAAAGAAATAGGAGATGTTGCAGTAGGAACATAACATTTGCATAGTTCAGCAGCATCATCTTTTTCCTATGTTCCTATTGACTCCCTTTATAATCTACCTGTGCAGCCATGAAACCCTTCCCCCCCGCTTATCCCTCCTGTGGCTCGTTATTACAAGGAGCGAGACGAGAGGTCTATTTTTACAAACGAGGGGGTGAGAAAGTGACACGGAAGGTGAGATTTTCATGTGGCAAAAGAAAGCACTGAGTTTATCGTTTGCGTCAGAAACCGATTCTGCTGTAAATGTACCTACTGTAAAGTGGCTCAGAATGAAAGTATTTTACCCTGTGCTTTTCTGGATGTAATGAAGCCAAAAGGCCAACTACACCCAAAAGTCGATTTCATTTCTAAAGCACCATGTTTGTGTTCCCATTTTGAGCCATTCACTGCCTTTTCTGAGTTGGTGGTAGGTTTTTCTGTAATGTAATCATTCTCTTGAAACAGAAAGGTGAGGTCAAGCGCGAGCCCACGGCAGAAGGAAAGACACGATCACAATGACGAGAGAGAGGGAGAGAGGCAGCAGGAGGAGGAGGGTGAGAGGGAGAGAGAAGGAAGCTGGCCATAGAGACATCAGACATTTGGAGCCTCGGCGAAGTTTGCCCGGAGTCTGTTGCCTCTCGACGTTCGGCCGGCAGATGACCAGTGGCCTGACCTGTGATATGCTCTCCTGGAAGACAAAGATGTGAGAGTTGTTATTGTAGGAGAAAAAACTTAAAACACAATGCACATTTCAAAGGGCTACTGACACAAATATATTGTTGTGATAATCAAAAGAGCCCAATTGTTTTCAGCACTATTTCAGTGATTCCTCAGCAGTGGTGATATGGTAAACAAGCTGAAACAACTTATTTCCCATTTTCTGTTAAAGTGCTCATTCAGTGCTAATTTCCATTCATCCAGATACACTCCTGCCACTTCTGTTTGACTTATTCTATCTAATCCGCTAAAAAAGAGGAAATAAGTCACACAAATTACAAAAAAAGTACCAAGCAGCCATTGGTGTACATTACATGTTTAGAAGTACAGTAAGTTATCATCACATATATATATCACGTATTGTAGGACTCTATCATTCGATTTGAGACAGTTTGGAAGACCTGAAAAACGCTGACCAATCAGAGCAGACTGGGTTTTTGGGGGGTCTTAAAGAGACAGGCGCTAAAACTGAGTGTTTCAGATAGAGGGTAAATACAGGTATATTCAGATGGACAGTATGAGAAAAAGAATGTGTTTTTTCAACATTTAACCATGCAAATATGTTCTTGTTGAAACCCCAAAAAATATTATGACCATACATTTGAGCATTGTATGTCTCCTTTAATTGATCCAAATAGGGAAAGTCTATGGGATACTGTCTCTGCAACCCTGTTTAAAAGCTGGATCTACAGCTGTGACAATATCTCTTTTCTCAAACCTCTGTGTTGTGTTGTGTTGTGTTGTGTAATTTGGTGAACAGATGTACAGAAACACGACTAATTAGAATTCACATTGCTGTGTTTTCTACCTCCAGTATGGTCCTGCTGTCTGCTCTGTCAGGGCTGAGCCTGAGGTTCCAGCGGTGTGTTTGGTGGCTCCGCCCCCCGTCGTCCTCGCTCTCCGTGGTGTCTTGCCGCGCTACCCGTGGACGCTTTCGTCTGCGCGAGCTGATTCGCTGCAGAGAACCTGGCTCCTGCAGTCTGAACCAATCAGGTTAAAGGCACAAGGTCAGAGAACTACAAGCAAATATGTACTGTGTGGATATGAAAGTGTGTGAGTGTGTGTGCATATCAAACCTGCAATCTGTGTCCTCTATATCAGCATCTGCATCACTCTCCCCCTGAGGGTCTGACAACACACACTCCTCCTGCACATGAATGACACATTTAACAACTAGAATATCAAGTATGTGATAAAAATGACAGTTTTAAAAAAGACATTCATGTTAAACTTATGATATGCTAATTTAATGACGTTGGGTAACAAGCACTAATTATGGATAAACTCAACCACCACATCTACAGTTTTGGGGCTTTTATTTTGTAGTCTTTCGATGAAACCCAGATGAGTAAAAGTGAATCATCACTGACCGCCACTTTCTGTAAACCAACAACACTTGATGATGGCATTTGTGTGAGTGCGTGTACTCATGCGTCACTTTTTTATAATCAGCATTTTTATTATGCATGAATCCGCCGACTCCTCAACACATGACTAATGAGTTCAGAGACACTGAATCTGGCGCTTCCTACAGATTTTATTTTGATTCGCAAATACAAAGACTGAGTCATGATAATCGTGTAGTGAAAATCTGATATCGTGACAGCCCAACGCTACAATTGTTGATGTGTCGAAGTATCTTAGAGCACTATTTTAAGCAAACACTTTTTTCTTATCACCTTTATTTCTTTTTTGGCTGCAGGACAGTTAGCTTAGCTTAGCATAAAGACTGCACAGAAGGGGTAACAACTAGCCTAAAAATCATCAAGTAAAAAATGTAATAAAAATACCTACCAAGAACTCTAATGCTCAATTAACACTGTATCTCTCTTTTGATTATTCTGTTTTAACCAGAGGGTTATGTAGTCTTTCGTGGCTAAGCCCATTTCAGTCCCCATAGCTGTAGCTTCATATTACACAAAAAATGTTGAACTGTTACTTTAAATGAAACAGTGGAAACACAAGTGTCATACCAATCTATTTCAAGAATGGCTTCCATGTAAAATATTTTGTCTGCTGAGTTGTTGTTTTTTTAGGACAGGGAACATAAATGCCTCACGTATGCCTCACATGATGCAACCTTGAAACCACAGCTGCCTGCTAAATGAAAACGCAACATAAACATATTCAGACACATAAAGGTCGGAAAATGTCTGAAATAAATAATTACACGCACACGCATGTCAAAAGAAACACACATTACCTCCGTTCCGTATCCCTCGGAGTACCTGGTTATCATGACTCTGTTCTTTCCACAGTGTTCACACAGGCGTGTGTCCTGAAAACACAAAGTGAAGAATATATGATTGATTTAAAGACATGCCTTTTAAACATACAGTAAAGAACACAAAGGCAGTGCGAGATAGAGGTCAGCAGCAGGTAAGAGGCATGTATTTAAAGCACTATTAAAGATGGAGAAACAGTCGACGGCCACAGACTCTTAAGTGGTGAGCCTGAGCACTCACCGGCGTAGGTGTGTGTGCTTCTGGATAAAGTGTACAGGGACCGACCTCGCACAGACACGCTACATCCACCTCTCCACAACTCGCCCCCATCTGAGACACAGACAAACACAGAGAGGATTGACAACCTTATGAGAAGCTTCTTGTCCCTTTATTCGTTAGCAAGAAACATATTTACAAAGTAAGTTAAAGGAAAACAGTGAGAAGTAGATCGGTATCATTTAGAAGTTACATGGAGACAGCAAAAGTATTTTTATAAATGCTTCTGTGTTTGTGGCTACGTGATGTGATTCCTGGCTTTTTAACCTTCTCCACCTACTCGCCTTTTAAACCACTCAAAAGTGGAGGAGTTGACTGGCACTGCCAGACTTTTGAGTTATGAAAGCTGATTAATTCATGTGATTCAGTCAAAGAACATCAGAGATATAATTAAATACAGTGATGGTGATGTTAAAGTTGGATTCACTGTATTGTATTTTTTAAAGGGACACCGCCAAAAGCTGTTTATCAATCTGGATTGTTAGTGAGTTTGGTGTTGATATCAGCCGAGGTGCTGCTTTCTCTCAGATTGAAGTAACTACAATTGTATTGCACTTGGCTTTAAAGTGCAAAAAAATATATTTTCAAAAACGGGAAAATACTTAGAAAACTACAAGAAACAGGAGACGTACACATTAATGTCCTTCTGCACCGTGATACGATTGGCAGGTTTACTTTGGTGGAAATAAAATAGTTCCTACTTCAAACAGCTCACAACAAACTCTGTTGATTATCTTGAGTAACCGGGTCATGATTCCCTGAAAGAGACATTGCTGTTGAATTTGCAAACATATTCTTTTTGCCGCATTATCACCTTAAGCTGAGTGCCATCTAGTTCTGTTATATTGGAGAGAAGGAATATATCTCACACATAACAAACTAGATTGATTGATATCCCTACAGCTTGATGGAAAAGGTTGTTTTGATTTTAGGGTGAACCGTCCCTTTAAAGGTAAAATATACGTCTCAATATCACGGATCAAAATGTGATTCTGATTTTATATACAGTACCTTCAACAGATTCCCAATGTAAATGAACTTGACAGGTATAAATAAATGACCTCACCACACAGTCATTGTCAGACGTCTCTCCCGAGGAAAAGAGACCACGGGTGTCAGATTCCCTCCGCAGCATGACCTCTGACCCAGCTCACACACTCACATAGACCTGCTGCGGCACAACAACAACATAGTCAGTTATAGTCCTCTCTAACATGTTAATAAAACGTTTTGACTAATGACTGGATATTATTTGTAAAATCATGTCATGAAGATGCAATCAGAATTATGTTATTCCAATTAATTATACAAAGCCAGTTCTAGTTTATTCTCATTGACTTTCTATTTAGGCACTAAGAAGCACATAAATCCTCAGTTATGGCTTTATTATTGATTGATAAATTCAAACAAATGTATTGATGATATAGGATATATTCCTACAATTCCTATATCGTAATGGTGGACACTTATTTTTCCTTAAAGTGAAGCAAAAAGATTCGTTTTTTTTGTTTTCATCTTGGTGTTACAGTGGTGTACAGATGATGCTTTACGCAAACAACCTCACTGTAACATCTGTCTGCACTCACATTACGTAATAGCCTACGACAGTCAATGTAAGAGCCTGGCAACTTTTCAGATAAAGATGGGGGGGGGGGGGGGGGGGGGAATATACTGTCAATATCAAGAGATCATGTTTTCATTTTCAAATGATATTTAAAAAAACACAAAATTATGATTTTACGCACATGCATGGTGAACACAATCTTAATTTTCTAAGCGACAACAAAAAAGAACAGAGTATCCCGTTTTACCTCCAACGCATCCCGTCCAGGAACATGGAATAATAAATGCATTAATAAATAAAAAGTGAATGGACTTCTGTGTTTAGAGGATGAGCAGCAGCACGCGGCGATGCCTCTCATCATTTCGCGTAAAAGAAGCCATGACTTCGCGCAGATGGTGAATGTTTGACATTGTAGAAAATCCTCTGTGTGATGACAGCCAAGCGCGCACACGGGGACACCGAATGTTCCCAAAGCAACGCGGGAGCGCGGATAGCGGCAGGAGGGACTTCCGGTCGAGACTTTCGAAATAAAAGACGATATTTTAAAAAAGTCAGTAGGAGGATATACTGAATGCATGCAGTCCTATATTCAGGCAGTGACTGTGTATTCTTTGACTTGAGCAAAAGTGGTAAAAATTACTACTACTACTAAAGTAAATAAAGTATGTATGTCTATCTATATATGTATTATCTACATAATCCTAATTTACATCGTTCATATCCCACATAATCCCACATATAACATATAATGCATGCATGGCTTTATGTGATGTTTCTGGCAACAAAAAACTATAACTAAAACACGTTTCAAGCTAAAGTTGATTTTTTTTTTAGACAGTATACAATTGTAGAACAGGGGAACTATAATACATATGTATTTACTGCATGCAAACAGTATCAATTATAAATCATACCATCATAATTGGATTATTCTGCTATGGGACACAACTAAACTGTTTATATATTAATAGTAGTATACCTTTAGATGAGTATCATGTAAGTTAATACTGCGTTTCAGCTATGCATATTTACAATATCTACTAACAACTTAAATTCCAGACTTGCATAACCGACTATCTGAAATGCTCAACTTGTTTGTCTTCTTTTGTCAGTGTTCTCGCCCCAGGTCCATGATCTGAAAGTGGTTTTGTGAACCCACCAATCATCAGGTCCAAAGGAGGCGGCCCACGTACATACCTTCCCCGCTCAAAACCACCACTGCATTCTTACGATGAATGTGTGCACTGGTATGTCATTGTCTTTCAAGAAAATGTGATGTTAAATTGCTTAGAGAAAAATAGTTCACATTTAAAGGTGTGAATTGTGTGGTTGCAATTGAATTCAAGATATCGTTCATAGCACAGTCATCGTTTGCAATGAATTGAAGAACATGTTGGCTGGAATGTACTTTTTGAATTCCTATTTTGCAGCATGCTTGGAGCTCATTTTGGCCTGAATGTCCCATGAGCCCTGCTGCTGCACTGAACAAGATTACGTGTAATTAGGGGCGACCTAATGTCCGAGGGAGGGATCCTCATTATGGCTGCATGTGGACCATGCAAATGACCCCTGTGAACATAACTGAACACTGCATGTGATTCAGCAGACACACTGACGTTTTCACAATGTTTTCCCTTACATTGTTTCGCCCAGTTATGCTTGGATATATTGCAATTGCTACTCTACATGCTAATGCTTTACTGAAGAAAATGTCCTCAACGTTGCATAATGACCAATTTAGTATGCATGTGTACTTTTTTCCGTCAAGGCAGCTGTGATGAATGCACTACTGCATGCTGATGTGTCATCCTCAAAGGGTTCATGTAATAAAAAAATGGGATGCAGGGGAGAATTTGGGCAATCGTGCTCTTTTATGCGTTCCCAGGGGAGAAGGGGGAGGCAGGAGAGGAGGGAAGGAACAGATCTTCAGAGGCAGATAGAGACGTTTGTGTATACACAAGTAGCAATACAAACAGGAGATGCAGGCTCGATAAGGAAATGAAGGGAAAGGGTGCAACTCAAATAAACCAAGAGTGGTGCACCAACGGACAAATGTACTTCTCTCTCTCTCTTTTTGCTTTCCAAAATTCACTCCCTGTCACAGAATCAGAATCAGAAAGAGATGAAGGTGAAAGAACATCATTTGGATATTGCAGAAGTGCTACAGAAAGGCAGTCTTTGGATTTTCTCATCAGATTTGCATGCCGAACTAAACACAAACCATCAACTCACATGAATTCCTTCCCATGGACCGAGGTCACAATGGATTTTTGGATCAAAGCGGCAGCTTTGGCTCGCCCCTAAAGGACAATCACTGCAGCCGAGGCAATTGCAGGGTACGGTGCAGCGAGAACACCCAAAGGTGGTTCGAAGATTGTGATTTGGTCGTGTGAGTTATGCGCTTCTGTGGTCAACAAGTGAAACTGAGCATCCACAGACATTCAGATGCAGATACACAACGTCTGAGGGGAGTACTGTTCGCACAGTGAGAGGAAGAGCTGCTGTGTGGAACATAACGACGAAGCAAATTAATCTGATCCAAAAAGGCCTTGTTTTTATCCAAAATGAGGAAGGAGACTACTTTTTTGTCAAGCACAAAACAGGAGTTATACCCTGGTTTGTTGGGGTAATGCTTGAAAATATCAACAGAACTTTTCTTGTAGTCACAGACAGTGTTGAAAGACCAATGAAGGAATCAGACCAAACCAAGGATAACCCCCTGACATTGGATTTCGACCAATCCTGGGGTTCATTCGGAAAACCAGCTGCACGTCTTTGCCTCGACACCTTGGATTTCTCAGACCTCTGGGACGAGGAAGACAGTACCGAAGACGAGGGATCCAATTCCACCAATGAATCATCGACGGGTTGCCTCCAAGCCCCTCCAGCACCCCCTCCTCTTCCTCCCCCTCCTCCACCTTTGACCTTGCCCTCCCATAAAGGTGCATCCACCAAATCTCGTACCTTGAAGCTCCACTGGAGGGAACTGCCGAGTTTAGCTCCACTTCCCAGGATGACGCGCTTTGGGACTCAGACTATTTGGGCCGGGCTTGAGCCGGTGCATTTGGATACAAACCGGCTGGAGTACCTGTTTGAATCTAAGGGCACCAGCACCACTTTTAATGTGGCTTTTGGGAGGCAGGTAAGATCCTTTGGACGGGATAATGTCTCAGGAATAAAGCGGGATTGGGCTAACAAACATGTTTTCTACATTTTGCAGTATTTATTTTCGGAATAAACTAAAAGCAACCACAGTTTTACCCCATTTACTAAGGTTCTGCCTCAATTATCAGTCTTAAGATTGAAGGTTGAAGTGGCAAAACTGATATGGTTATGATCACAAAGACCACCGTTTTGTTTGGCAGCACCTATGGCCGCTATTGGTTCATTGTCAGAGTTAAAAAGATAATTTTCCTCAGGAATGTTGTTTGTAATACTCTTAAAGCCTACTGTATATACAGTCTACAGTAATGCTGAACATGCAAGGGCTTTATAATGGGTAAATCCCCAATGTGTTAGCTCATTTTGAAATAGATAGTGACTCAGTAGACATGTATTTAAATTAAATTCTTACTAATACTTTAGGTATTAAAGCACGGGGTGCAAAATGCAACCTTAAAATAAACTTTTAACATGATGTATGTATAGTACAGTATATTTACATCTGTCTCGTGTCTTTTTGTATACCCTAACACAGAAGCAGCCATCAGTTTCAGTGTTGGCGATGAAGAGGAGTAACATCATAACCATCGCTCTGAGCAGCCTCCCCCCTCCCCGCCTCCTCCCCCCTGCCATCTACAGCATGGACAGCAGTGTGCTGGACAGAGACGACGTTCAGGTATACAGTACAGCAGAGGTCATGTCCTGCAGAATTCGAGCTTCAGCATTTTGTTTAACCTTTAAAGTTGGATAGGCTATTTGTTGCCCTCACTATACATTTATAACGGCTAAATGAAACCTGAGCTGGGTCCTGAATAGTCCTGCAGTATGGTTTAATCTCTGTCCACATTCCCTTCTGATACAGCGGCTTAAAGAGCTAATCCCAACAGAAGAGGAGCTGAGTCTGATCAAGGAGGCCAAGGCCCTGAACCCCCACTCGCCTCTGGCCCCTGCCGAGCTCTGCCTGCTCACTTTGGGGGAAATACCACATCTGAACTCCAGGCTTCAGCTGTGGGCCTTTGCGCTGGACTACGACTCGTTAGAAAGGGTAAGTAAAAGGGAAATGAGCATGGGACAGAAAGTCGTTTTGACACTTCAAATGTACAAAACAAAAGCTTTTTGTTAAGAGAAATGTCGTTTTTCAACCCCATCATGAAAACACTCTTGCAGTTATGTTTGAAAATGTATCAAGATCTAGGTAGTTAGCATGATGTACAAACTAATTATGGATCTGAACACCTTTTTTGTTACCGAACAATCCTGTTTTGTTCAGTTGACAAATCACATTGGAGTTGGCTTTAGGCATTTAGGCATTGGCCGAAATGCAATCTAACTACCCAGTGGCCATTACTTGATAACAATTTAGCTTATAATTAGCTAGCAAACTGACCACGTGTGAAATAATTTGGTTGTATAGTTGCCCAATCTATGCCAATTCTATGCTTAATTGTCGTCAAACAATGGCCCATGGGTATTAAGACAAACTTTATTCTTGTATCTCAAGTTGATTATTGGACTATCAAAAATGACTGGCACACAGTAAAATACGCCTTCGCACAGATAGTGATGACTAAGCTGGAACCCGTTGAAATATTGGCTTTTGCCACCCTGATGCTTACCTCTGTCACTGCGATGATAGACGATTGGTTCAGAGATTGGCATGCTACAATGGAGCCACCTACACTTGATACATCATCGACAATACCATCATGACAATGTTAATCCCAATAGGCATCCAGTAAAACACACCACCTACTCTGTCTGAATCATCACATTGTGTGTATCGTGACAGGAAGTTGCTGAGCCTCTCTTCCATCTGAAGTTGGCCATGGAGCAGCTTGCAGCCAGCCAGACCTTCAGATGTATTCTAGCAACCGTGTTAGCGATTGGTAACTTTCTCAATGGATGCAAGGTGGGTGGCTCCAATTTTTGTTATTCGTCTTTCATCCACTTGTAATTGTAAAATTCAAACAACTTATTTTTATATCCTAAGGCCCGTGGTTTTGAGCTGAGTTACCTGGGGAAGCTTTCCCAGGTGAGGGACACGCACACTCGCCAACCTCTTCTGCTTCACGTCTGCGTGTTACTGTTGCAACTTTACCCACAATCCTCTGACCTCTACTCGGACATCACTGCTGTTACTAAAGCTGGCAAGGTGTGTATTTGGGCCTATGTGTGTTTATCTCCTGTGTGCAGAGGTGGGAGAAGTGCCAGTGTAGGAATACTCTGTTCCAAGTAAAAGACCTGCAATCAAAATGTTACTCAAGTAAAAGTACAAAAGTATTAGCATCAAAATATAATTAAAGTACCAACAGCAAAAGTAGTCATTGTGCAGATTGGTCCATTTCAGAATAATATATATGATATGTTTTGATTATAATTATTGATGTTTTAAAGTGTGATCAAAGCTGGTAAAGGTGCAGCTAGTTTGAATGACTTTGTATACTGCAGGGTAGTTTGTGAATTTACTCCACGTGTAACTAAAGTCTGATTTAAGTGTTGATTATATTTCACATCATTTATCAAAATCTGTAAAGTAACTAAAGGTATTACATAAATGTAGTGGAGTAAAAGTACACTATTTACCTCTGAATTGAAGTGGGGTAGAAGTACAAAGTAGCATAAAATGGAAATAATCAAGTGCAAGTATCTCAAACGTTCCCCTTTCTCCTCCCTGCAGTTCGACTACTCCCTAGTGCAGTCCAACCTCTCCCAGCTGGAGGCCCTGTGCAAAGCATCATGGGAACAGCTAAAGATTTTGGACAAGGCAGAGAAGAAGACAAAATATAGAAATGAGAAGAAGAGAGGAGGAGGAAGTGATGCTTTGGCCTCAGAGGGCTCGCTTCGTCACCGGCTGCCAAAGATTTTTAAAGAGTACGAGGAAAGGCTGAAGGTCCTGAAGGCCGTCCATCGGCGGGTTATCAACAGGTGTGTTGCGAGTACATGTTTTTCAACATTTTTGCTGCTAAGAGCATTTTGGAATCTAAATATATTATGAGAGTTTGAGCTGGTTTGCTCCCATTTCAGAAAAGAAAGCATCTACAATACACATTTGGGATTTTAGTTTACTACAATTTGTCTCTTTGCATTTGTAGATTTCACCTTAATTAACCAAGAGTACATTTTTTAGACATAGGCCATACTCTGTCATTTGTTTTGCTTCCTGCTGTTGTTCAGTAATACGTTCTGTGTTCCTCAGGTTCCACTCTTTCCTCTTATTCCTGGGCTACTCCCGAGCTATGGTGAGAGCCACGAAGGCGGAGGACTTCTGTAAAACCATCAGCAACTTTTCCTTGGAGTACAGGAGTACAAGACAGGCCGTCCTCATGCAGCGAGAGAGGGAATGCCAGAAAAGTGGATCAGAGAGCCCAGGCCCTAATACGCCTGTAGGCCGGAGGAAACGCCAACAAACTCCAACAGAGGTTTTTATTTCACATGCTTTAAAAGTGAAGCACTTTTCTAACATGATCAACTGGTTTTGTCAAACAGTGGCGAAATAAGTATTCAGATGCTTTACTTAGTTACGTTGGTATTATTGTCAAAATACTGTTAAAAGTCCTGCATTCCAATTCTTACTAAAGTGAAAGTACAAAAGTATTATCAGCTAAATGTACTCAAAGTATAAAAAGTAATCATTGTGCTTTATTTGTGGGATTTTTCTAACCCTAACCCTATAAATGTAATTGGGTTAAATTACATAATGTCCCTTGTAAGTGTAGTGGAGTAGAAGTAGCATAAAATGTAACAGTGTACAGTACTTGAGTAAAAGTACTTTACACAACTGTTGTTAACCCGGTGTATGTTGATCAAACAGGAAAATGAAGAGCAGTGTAAGCTGGAGGAAGTTCTGAAAACACCTGATTTCAACCTGAGACTGGATTCCAGTTTGCCTCGAAACCGCAGGAAGATCACTGACATCGAAGGTACTTAAAATACTCGGTTTCTTACCATCTTTATCTATTAAATGTATCATGCTGAACCCACTTTTGTTTACTCCTCAGGTCCATTCTCACGGAAAATGAAGTGGTGACCCTGCTGATACACTTTAGAGATGTTCAGTCACTGTTGGAACCAAGTTGTTTGTAATTGTTATTTATGACATTGTTGTTAAAAGTGACTTTTTTGCCTCGCAGTTTTGTTTAGCAGTACGGTTCATAGAATTTCACATCCAATATGTATCCATTTTAAAGAAATTATGCAAAATCTGTTTTGAAATGTGTATGAATACTTATTCATTCTGTGTCTTTGTACGCACCATTTATACCAAAGCAAATTCCTCGTATGTGTTAACCTACTTGATAATAAAACCAATTCTGATTCTGATTAAAAAACACAAGGGCTCTCACGTAAGCATTTTGACAAAATAAAGCCTCAAAAAACAAAATCTGCTCAATTTATAACTGTCCAGCATATCAGGATAGTACATAATGTCACATTATATTTAAATGTGTTCCTGTCTGAATACTGCATATTTGTCTCTGTTAAATAAATAAAAACATAGATAATAACTTTTTAAAGGGGCGTGAGTCTTGCGCTCAATATAATATTATTAAAAATAATAATAATAAAGCTATATTTCTATACCACTTTTTAACAAGAAATTAACTTCTGGTCGGACGGTGAAACCTTTTGAACACATTCAGCATAACAATATAATATTAATTCAAGGGGCACAAGGAGCTAAAAGCTATGATATTGCAAATAATATATAATAAAAATAAAAATGATGTCTTTGGGTAAAATAAAGGAAGATACAACAAAATGAATAACTACAATAAAATATATAAACCTATAAAATAAAATAAAAAATCACGTGGTCATATACAGTATGACCACATGTCATATAGTGGACTGTCTTTGAGCTCATGTATTGCTATTCAAATCAATCGAGTTCATTACGTCTTCTTTCGTGGGCCGGACTGGCAAGCGCATCAGCCAATCCCTGAAGAGTATACTCACACAGGGTGGTGTGAGTATCCAATCAAAGACGAGTACGCAGTAGTGGGCGGTGCCCTTTCTCTGTTCTCTGTGTGAGTCGACGCCATTTCGTGTCCACTGGTTTCAAGGTGATACTATCAGCCTGCAGAGCCGTAAACGGATCTTTACCTACTCAAGTAAAAACAGCGTTGAATTTTACTAATTTTTAGTATTAAACTCCTGGTGAGTATTTTTAACCGAGAGCATTTTTTCCCCTATTTTTTCTAATTTTTTTTCTCGACTCTGAACCTCTTTGGGACTTTTTTGTTTTCATTTTTAATGCATTTTTTCCAGGGCTGGTGTTCCTGAAACTGTGTTGGCTTTTAGTGGCGTACATTTTGTGTTGTGCATATTGAGCTGCGCAGAGACTAGTTTTATTAGCTTCCCACCACTAAAAGATTTTTGCTTTGGTTTTTATCGAACATTTCGAAGCCTCGTTTTTTTTGCAGTGCTGCTGTGTGGCGTGGCGTCGTTGTGTATCTTGAGTGTGGTCATAATCTCGAGGATGGGAAATTGTTGCAGTCTTTTCTGGACAGTGTGCAAAACGGGTCGCCCTTTTTCTTGGAAATATGTTTTTAAAGGGTTTTTTAATCTCGTCTTGGGTTTTGCCTCCACCATTAACTTGATATGCATTCGTTGACAGTGACTCGTGCCTTTCTTTGTGATTTCGGCAGTGTATTTTCTGCAGAGAAACCTCTCAGGAGTGATGTTATTTTTCAGGCAAGCTGTTTTTTTCCCTCAATGCCGAGTTGGGGCGTTTTTTTAAAAGGAACATTAACACCGTGGTTCATTTGGTGTGGCAGAATTTGTGCATTTGGTAATTTTTATTTTAGTCTATTTGCAGAAGCATTTCTTAGCAGTTTTTTTGCTCAGGCCCTGGATGTAGTTAGCATTGAGCTGAAATCAGGCCTCTATTGCTCTTTTTTCCGCCCCACTTATTATGATCAGCTGTATACAGATATGTGAACATTTTTGATCAGATTTTTGCAACAAAGGCTTACTATTGGAGTAGAATTGCAGTTTATGATGCCTCCTAAACGTGAAGATCCCTATTTTACACCCCTGTGGTACCCCAACCCCCTACTGTACCCCAGCCCAACTGTGTCCTTTTTAAGTGTCCTTGAGTGTGAGTCCTTCCAGTCTCCAGGGGCGCTGTTCTGTAGCTGAACCCTTCCTGGGGCCCCTATAATTAGGGCATAAGGCATCCTTGAATTCTCTTATTTAACTGATGATGCTGTCACCAGTTTCTGATATTTTCCCAATTGTTAGGTTGATATTAAGTAATTAAGTAGCCTAGATTATGAAGATAATTCCTAGTGATGCTTTCTATCAACTAAGCTTGCAAAGGATGCTCAAACGTTGTTACATGTTTTAAGTAAAATAGGAATTGCAATTTAAACAACAGAATAGCATTGTTAATAATGTTAAACCTCAGATTATTATTTATGGAATACTTACCACTAAAGTTCAATCTTTTAATGGTCTTACTGCAAATCTCTGACTGATAGCTTTTCCAGAAATATTTTTATAACATGAAATTTTTTCTTTTATTTAATTCAACAATTTTTTTGAAAAGAATCTGCCTAAAATAATATTTTTTTCAGACACATTTTTATATTGAGGATACAGGTGTGAATTGTAGGTTCATAATTCGAAGAATTTTGTTTTATTTTCTATGTGCTGTAGGCATTGACATTTGGCACATCTTTTTTAATTTATTTATATAATTTCCATACTTTTCCCACCAGTTTCCCCTCCCTGCTTGTGGAAATAATACTTCTAGATACTTTTTTGAATGGCCTCTTTTCTAATATTACGTTTTTGTTTCCCCCTGTTTAGTTTTTGAAGCCTCTTTTTTGAACAGCGGCAAATCGTAAGTTGGTCTCAACTTTTTTTTTGGTTTTATTTTTTCACCACAACTTTTGCATCACTTTTTTAAAATTCCACTTTTGTTTTCACCGCTTTGTGATTCAGACCATTTCTCCCCCTTTTGGATTTTCCTAGAGCAAGTAGCATGTAGTGTTTTTTTTTTTGTGCTGTGAAAGTAGACAATCAGCTGCTTTTGACTAGTGCTTTATACATGAGCTTCCACATGTCCCCAGTTTATGATAACCAAATGCATAACAGTGTTGATGATAAGAGACCAGATTTTGAGCTAATATTGAATAACACTTCCTCCTGAATCCAGCCCTGGCTCTGACAAAGGCTAAATAATCCTGCCTTTGCTATGTAATGTAATCTCTTTTTTTGCATGTCATTTGATGGATTCAAATCTGGTCTATTACCCACACAGAAAAAAGATACCTGCTCTTGATAATAACAATGATGTCATCATTATCACCCCCGATAGTAAGTTTGTACCTGTAAAAATAAGCATGTCTTCTGAATACAATGAATCACTAACAAATAACAGTAATAACTAATACAGATTGTGTTAAGGTACAATATATATAACGTCAAAGGTTAAGATTGTATAATTTTTCTTGCACACAGAATACACACAGCTCCATGCACATCTGTACAATCTGCTCTCTCTCTCTTATTGTCTTGTCTGTCTTCAAACATGAGCGCTGCAGTTGCAGTGTTTCACAGTCCAAGCACAAACACTCGCTCACATCACTGATCAAAATGAAACTAAAGATACAACATTATATATCTCAGGAAGTTTCACACAGTAACGCCCAGATGAGGCAAAGGATAGGAAAAGTTATTGCTGCTATAACTGTAAATATGCCATATATGAACTCTTAATATGAGAGGCAAACAGTTAGCATTTAGCCTGTTGTTAATTTTTGAATAATAATACAATATAATGCAACCCAATATTAAAACCCTGCAGTAAACGCCACTTCTATGAAGCTTATATTGTTCTGTTGAGTATACGTTTGGAATATAACTGATGGACTCCCTGCTTGTTTTACACATACAGGAAATTATTGATAATAAGAATAGTGAACTGTTGTGACTCATTTACAGGTAGCCAACAAAAGACATATTGCAAATCATAAAATGTTGCAAGTAGAGCTGAAACAATAGATAAACTAATAAACTGGTTAGCAGTGTAATTCATCTGTAAAGCAATTTTTCCTGCAAAATAGTTGGTCAACTCTGTTTTCAGCCTCAAATATGGATGAATCTTGCCTTATTGATCTGTTGTATATCATATTAAATTGATTATTTTGGGTTGAAGACTCACAAAACGAGACATTTTCAGACATGTAATGGAAAAAATGACAATTAAGAATGGACATTTTCACTTTTAGAAAAAATCCTGCAGTTGCATGGAGTAAAGTTTCCAAAAAAGTGAACTGCACCATCAGGAAAAGTGGATTATCATCAATATATATATATATAATATCAAACAAAAACCATGATATATTATATTATATTTACAAAAGTATATATATATTAAACATGTAAGATTATCTTGTTATTTGTCCACCTAGTGAGTGTTTATGAATACATCAAAAATTCTCCAACAAATGCGTTCACACAGGCTAACTGGCTTTATTCGGCATCAGTCATGAAAATCATTTGCATGTATATAAACCCTGGATATTCCCTTTGAACCCCAACATGCCACAAAGATTTAGAAACACTAAGCAGCCTGTGATAGCCCTCCCCCACTCGTCCTAAACACACTCGGTGTTGTAGCGACTGTCAGCTTGCCAAGCGATAGAAACACCCCGGCCAGATCATGTAGAGGAGAGCAGAGCATTAAGCCTTGGCCAGAGAGCCGGCTGCTCACCATGTAATCCCTGCTAGCTGCTAGCGGTCAGAGAGGGAGCGCTGCTGGGGTTCAGTTGAGCTCAGCTGGCAGCAGAGTGGGGCTTTGGCAGGTGAGACATGGCTGAAGTGGGTGATAATTACATGAAATGTGCGCGGTTGATGGGGAATTAGCAAAAACAAGATGGACACCAAAATAGGGCAAAGCCAGTGTTTACTCATGTTACATTACATTGACATGTACATTTCATTTAGCTGATGCTTTTTATCCCAAGTGACTTACAAAAAGTGCATTTAACCTTGAAGAAACTGACTCAAAAAGCAAAACATTTCTGCAAGTACGTTAGCTTTCGATATGTCAAACCAAGTGCTCTAATGCAATTGGCTTCAAATGTATGAAAATGTTCTGATGCTGGATGATAATACCACAAAGTGTTGCAATTTCCTAAAAGTGAAGAATGTGCTTTCTACCATACAAGGGTTTGACACAATAGCAAACACCTTATAGGGAGGTAAAATCTTTGAAATTAGTGTTACATGTTTTATTTTAAACATTTTAGTAGCCTAAAACTCCAATATATTCAATTGAATATGATACAAAACAGAGAAAAGCAGGAAATCTCCATGTATTCTGAAATGTTTGCATCAGAAATCACAAATGATAATAGATTATCATAATGCTAGGCTACGGAATGTTTACATTTTCATCTCATAGACAGTAGTTTCAATAAAACAAACATTGAATGTAGTTATCTTTCAGTCAATGTAGTATTGTATTTGTTAGTACGATTCCCCAGTATGATACATTTCAGACTTCTCCGACCCTACAATGTTACATAACTTTGGAGGGTTTGCAACAGCAGTAACACTTTTAGAAAGTCATAGTATGTTTCCCCATGTGCTTCCCTGCTGTCTAAATCAAAGCATAGTTAGTTTAGATGTCTGTACATATATCATGCAGTAACCAGGATATTTGTATTTATCATGTATGGTGATATTATGAATATTCTGTAATCCCTATAATCACAGCCCGTAAAAAGCCTAATAACCTGGATAGCTGTAGTATGTGACATTATGAGCTTCATTAAAGTGGTGTTTACTGTAGTGTTACCTCACGTAGATAAACAGAACAAGAAAGTTATCAGTTTTCACAAATACATCAAAATACAGCTTTCTCACTTCAATGCAATACTTTGCTTTGTCATAACAAATGTATCCCACAGGTTTTTTTTTATAGCCACCTGCTTTAAAAAAAAAACATGTACACTACCACCTCCTGAGCAGCCCTCTTCCAGTTAAAAGCATTTTTTGGCTTTGAGAAAACTCTAAGAAAACGCAACTTTTTGGAGGTGTAGTAGATGTAACCCCACAGTCACTGTTTCTCAAAGTTCCTCGACAACCCTCTTCTCTCCAACAGAGTCAGACAGGCAGGCAGACCTCCAGCAGCCCGAGTACAGACATGATGGAGTGAGTGCTGGTTGCTTCATGACCCCATCACACTGTTCTCTGTTCTGCTGTCTCACATCTACCTCTAGATGCTCCCTTTGCACACATTTAGTGTGTGTAAATGATATGTTAAAAGCATCCCCGTTGACATGTTTAGTCGGAGGTACAACGTTGAATTTGCCATGTGTTTATGAATGATTGCATTACATTTTTGTTATCATAAGTTTAAATTGATACATGTAGTAATGTCAGTAAATGAGCATACATTATAACGTCATTAGGATGAAATGATCAATCAATGACAGAAATTAAATATTTATATTATTTAATTATTAAAGTAATATACATGAAAAATCTAGCTTCTCAAATGTTACAAAATGCTTTTATTCTCTAACACACCTTTAGATTTGATATACTTTTGTTTTTTTGACTATATGTTGTACAAAAACCACCAGCAATATGAAGATGTCTCTGCAAAATGTTGATATATTTTAATAATATTGAAATGACAATCTACAGCTGCAGACTTCTGTAGACTTTCATTCACTTAAACATGCAATACGTAAGAAACTGTGATTAAACATTGTTAAAGAGCTTCACAAGGTCAAAAATGTAATTGACCTTATTGCAGAGATAATCTACAAGTTATTGCGCAAAATCTCACGGCTTTGTTTTCTCCTTTTTTCTTTTCTTTTTTCGCCTACCTTTGTCCCCCCCCCACCCCAAGCCCGATGGCCAGTAGCAATGTGACGAACAAGACTGACCCTCGCTCCCTGAACTCCCGCGTCTTCATCGGCAACCTCAACACGCTGCTGGTCACCAAGGCCGACGTGGAGGCCATCTTCTCCAAGTACGGCAAGGTGGTGGGCTGCTCCATCCACAAGGGCTACGCCTTCGTCCAGTACGCCAATGAGAGGAACGCACGCAACGCCGTGGTCAGCGAGGACGGCCGCATGATCGTGGGACAGGTGCTAGGTGAGCTGGAGGGGTTGATGGGTAAAAAAGAACTGCAGCGATGGAGATAGAAAGTCAGTGGGCCCAGTAATGAGCCTTGAAATCAGTACTGGACTTTCTTTCTGAAAACAAATGACAAAAATAATCGTAATTTGTTTTAAATGATAATAGAATAGTTTCAATATCTAAAATATTTATCCTGAAATATGTAAATACTGGGGATTTGAGCCTGTAATCCTTTTACATATATTTTCTATGCCTGCTAATTTCAATACAAGAAGCAGGTAACATCTCTTATTAAGTAAAACCAAGAAAACCAGCTGTTTTTGGTCTAAACAGTTGTGTGAGGCCTTTCAAAATAAAGTAAAAAACCATCAGGTGAACAACCAGTATCATCTTACTTTGGCAACTCCTTATTCCTCTTTTTCCTCCCTCAGACATCAACCTGGCCGGCGAGCCCAAACCCCACAGATCGAAGACAGTGAAGCGCTCTGCAGGAGACATGTACAGGTGTGTTTCCACGTTATTCAACAACATATTACAGAAACTCTGCAGTCCTCCAGACTTCCTTATCGGAAAGTATTGCTTCGTGACCTTCATGAATGCTGTAGTTAATCATTCTTCTCTGACTCTGCCCTCTCCACAGTTCCTCTGGAGATTTGGACTATGACTTTCAAAGAGATTACTACGATAGGTAAGCTGTCTATTGTAATATCATGTAAAATATAGTTTTGAGTCATTTATTTTTCTTATTCGGTTTTTACCTTACCCCTTAGTAGGTTTCTATCCCACCTGCACCTGTTTATTATTACTTTTTTTCTGTCTGACCCTTTGTTTTATTTTTAAACATGCAAATACAATATATAACACAATTAAGATAAAAACTCACAATGGAACAAAGATATTGGAATTTTTTTTTAATTGAAGCAGATCCACTTTTGCATTTTGTTGCAACTTTTTAATTATTTCTCCTCTGTGTTTCAGGATGTACTCCTACCAGTCCCGGGTGCCTCCTCCTCCCCCTCCCCCCCTGTCCCGGGCCGTCATCCCCTCAAAGCGTCCGAGGGTCAGTGTGAGCGGCGGAGGCAGCCGGCGAACCAAAACCAGCTTCTCCTCCTCCTCCAAGACCACCCAGAGGACCTCCCGCTCCGGTATGTACCACCATCATCTCTAAGGCTCAAATATGTCTCACACATCAATGTTGTAATGGCTTTTTTTTTTACTGCCTCTCCTCCAGCGGTGAAGGTAGATGATCTGCAGACCATCAAGAGAGAGTTGACACAGATCAAACACAAGGTGGACTACCTGCTGGAGAGCCTAGAGCGCATGGAGAAAGACCAGAGCAAGAAGTCAGGTGGGCCTCGGAGATTTAATGGCAAGTTTGACAAGCGTTTAATACAGAAAATTATACATAAACACTGACACAGATGCTTCAGTTCACTTGTAATGCCTCTGCACCTACTGTATTGTCTAACACAGAGATGGTTATCTACACCTAAAGGGATTTTCTTCAAATTTGGCTCAAACTACCACTTGAAATCAAGAAAGAAAATGATAAGAATCTGGTTGTTTTTTGGCTTTAACTCCAAATCTTATGATAATTTCACACTTCCACTTTTCACTTTTATTTTGGGATATTCTCATTAGAAGGAGCATTGGCTGTTCTTCAAAATAAAATACAAGAAAATTGGATGTTAGAAATAAAGAAATTCCTTTTGTCAGCCTTGTTTACATTTAGTTTTTTTACACCATAACTCATATTCCACACAAATATCTAATACGATAAAACTGTTGGTTCCACAGCGGGGAAATTAATATCCAAGAGGCAATGCCGATACAAACACAAAAATAAAGTTAGTAGAGATAATAAATGTAGAATCAGCACATCTTAATAATTAAAAAAAGCAAATGCACACATATATACACATCCATGGTAAAAAATAAGTAGCAGCATTATAAAAGCAAGTGAGTAAAAATATCAAACTGCTCAATTAGCAGCCAGTAATAGCAATAATACATGATATAACATTATATATTGCACATGAATACAGCCATAAGGTGTTTATTCTAATTCCCACTGTCACCCTTTCATTTACTCAGAGATGAAGAACTGCAAACCAGAGCCGGGCGAGGTGTCACCGCTCAACTCCTCCAGCTCCAGCAAGAAAGGTGACAGCCTGAAGCGTGGCATGAACGACTCAGATGACGATGGAGATCTGCTGGACGATGAAGATGAGGTGAGGAGCGGGGGATGAAGAACGAGAGGGAGGGAGGGAGGGAGAGCTTATACTGTATGTTAAGAATTACTTAATCACATTTTCCTGTTGTACAGATGAAAAACAGAGGGAGGGATGATGACGATGATGAGCCTGAGGAAGGAGAGGACGACGGAGATAGTGCCGACGGAGACGAGTCCTAAACACCACACACGCACGCACGCGCACGCACACACACACACACACACACACACACACATTGTGTACGATTGTATCTCCACTCCATACTTGTACGCAGTGTTAATTTGCCCATATCTGCTGAATTGACTGGACATTTACAGCATATACAGTGTATTGTAGACTTCGCTTTCTCACACACACACACACACACACACACACACACACACACACGTATAGTTTCTGGATTTAGATTTCAAGTTGGTCGTTCGATTTTTCTTACCTATTGAGTTTATTTGACTTTTTTTATAAATATTTAAATGCAAACTGTAACTGATTTGTTACATTTAGGCAACATCCAAGTTCAGATGAGGATAGGTGTCACATTGTTTAACCTTGTATTTTGAATTCCAGTGTAAAAAATGACAGAAATTGTTTTTTTAGATGACGTGACGTCCAAAACACATAGCAAGAGCTAAAATTAAAGCAAACCGGGATTAAAATGTTCTACGGTTTGAATATAAGTCAGGCTTGATATGAAATACCAGATATGGTACTACAGTCAACGCTTGAAAATGTATAAAATATATTCCTGATCCAGTTGCTGTATGTTTTCCTTTTAACCAGCAGGTGGCAGTGTATCAAAACAACTGGCCACATAAAAAGACCACAAGGACTTATTTATGTTCTCTCTCTGCTTGTAGGATAACACCATAAGCATGTACAAAGCCTTGTATCCAAATGTGCAGATGTTCAGACAAATCCTCTGAAAATAGTTTTGTTTGTTTGCGAGGTGTTGCGACCTTAACTGATCTTGACTTGTGTAATGCAGTGCTACTTCATGTTAGTCTCTTTCTGTTGAAGTTTTATTTTGTCATTCAACTGCACTGGTAAAAGTGAATAAACATGTTTTCCAAGTTGGACCTTGTATGAGCTTTTGCTTCAGCACACATGGATGCATTCACGTGCAGCGTGAGGCTGTGTTTGTGTGCCATTAAGGTTGACTAATTGCAGGAAAGGTGTTAGATTAATGTGTCGATTATAATAAACAATGCTATTTGCACCCGGTCGATTATAATAAACAATGCTATTTGCACCCGGGTGACCATAGTAAACAATGCTATTTGCACCCGGGTGACTACAGTAAACAAGGCTATTTGTACCCGGGTGATTATAATAAACAATGCTATTTGCACCCGTTCGATTATATTAAACAATGCTATTTGCACCCGGTCGATTATATTAAACAATGCTATTTGCACCCGGGTGACTATATTAAACAATGCTATTTGCACCCGGGTGACTATAGTAAACAATGCTATTTGCACCCGGGTGACTACAGTAAACAAGGCTATTTGTACTCGGGTGATTATAATAAACAATGCTATTTGCACCCGGTCGATTATATTAAACAATGCTATTTGCACCCGGATGACTAAAGTAAACAATGCTATTTGTACCCGGGTGACTATAGTAAACAATGCTATTTGCACCCGGGTGACTATATTAAACAATGCTATTTGCACCCGGGTGACTAAAGTAAACAATGCTGTGCACCCGGTCGACTATAATAAACAATGCTATTTGCACCCAGGTGACTATATTAAACAATGCTATTTGCACCCGGGTGACTATAGTAAACAATGCTATTTGCACCCGGGTGACTATAGTAAACAATGCTATTTGCACCCAGGTGACTATATTAAACAATGCTATTTGCACCCGGGTGACTATAGTAAACAATGCTATTTGCACCCGGGTGACTATAGTAAACAATGCTATTTGCACCCGGGTGTATTTATAGCCACATTGGATATTTAGACCGTGTTAAAGAGCATTTTTTTCAATAGTTGCATTAGAATACATTTAATGAACAGCCTGTATTGCAACATACACACGTCTTTTCAAAAATACTTAAAGTGAGCTTTTAAGATTTTAACCTACTGTAACAGGTTTTAACATAAACTCTTATAGAGACTGGTACACATTTCAATTCAGTCTTCTAGCTAAACATAGAAAGAAACATATAAAAGAAATCCAATTAAACAAGATAAAAAGTTTTTTGCCAACAATGTTATTACCAATGACCAAACCTCAATCAATACACATCCTCCCTATTGATATACTGCCTGCAGTGTGCTGAGGCCTGGTTAATGAGGAAGGAACAGAGAGCTGGCTGGAATAAATGGGAAAGATGGAAAACAAATCAATAATCCTCCATCTTCAGGGTGAGTCGTGATTAATGAGGAACAACAGGCAGCAGAGGGGTTGGATAGTCTGACATTTACACACCATTAAAAAACAGTTATTGGCTGCATATATATATTCCCTCCAACTTGATGAACTGTTTTCATCATGAACTTGTCATTGTCTCTAAAGAACTCAGGAAAATCATAGCTATTATATACTTTTTGTATTGTTAATATATACTATGTGTATGAAGGAAAGAGACTTCTTCTGTAGTTCTTCACAAACCATCTTCTCTGTTTCTATTTTGACTTATTGTCCTTCACTTTCTCCATTGCTGACTTGAGGAAATCCAGCCTGGTTTCCCTCTGAGCCTACTCCTCCTTAATGATTGAATAAGGGATAGTAGATGGGTGGATGAACAAGCCACAGCAGACTTGAGACAGATGGAAGGAGTAGCTGACAGATGGAGAGATCGCAGGACGAGCGGAAAATATATTATGGTTTGCCGTGGGGGGGAATAAGGTTGTGGAAATGCTGTGCAACAATTAAAGTGAGGACTTGCAGAGCAGTGGCTTTTGTTTAAACACTGTCTAAGCACTGGTGGCGGTTGTTAAATTGGATATAAATGATTGCTTGTCACTTTAAATAGTTGTAGTTGTTAGGGTATTCAAGGTTTGTTTTGATTTGTTTGACTGGCATCACAGTTGATCGAGAAACTATAAGATAAGGCCTACATTTTAGATGATCAAATGAACAGATTGTATTGATTACTGACGTTCCGCAACACCCCCTCCTATAATATATTCTATGTTTGTTGTCAACACTGTTATATGGGGAACATTGGCCAATCCAGCGAAATCAATAAGGCTCATACACAAACACGCGTCTCTCGCTTTCTGGTTTTGTCACATGATTTCACGCATATGCCCTGTTGTCTGTTCGAAGAGAATTACAAACACTCTCTAGCTTTTGAATCATATTCATATCCTAACACATGTTTGAAACTTATGGACATTTGCACACTGAAATGGGCCATTTCCTGCTCATTTAGTTGACGCTTTTATCCAAAGCAACAATCGCTTCAATTCAGTAGAAATGCCTAACCAAACTATTTCGGGTATCCTCCCAAAGCACACTTAAACATGTTGGATATATGGACTGTGGATCAAACCACTGTTCCTCCTATTGCCCATTTACCCACTACGCCAAAGCCTCTCCTTCTTCTACTTAAAGGGGACCTATCATGCAAAATGCACTTTTGTACGTCTTTTATACATGAATATGTGTCCCCGGTGTTCCAGGGAACTCACCAAGTGTCAGAAAACACAACCCTCTCTATTTTCCTCCATACCCAAATCTCTAAAAAAGGGGCTGCAACGGATCTGATAAAAACTGATCCAGATTTGAACACTGTCCTGACGTCAGGACGGTGGCGCTACGGCTATTGGGCCAACTCCACCAATCAGGAGGAGACAGCCACGGCCATTGCCGTTCGAAAGCGCTGGAGACGCTGTAGTACATATGTCAGGCCTGTAGGTGGTGCTGTTCTCACTGAATCTGCCCTTGCTAAAACAGATCTAAAAAATTTCAAATTGAGCAAAATGAGGCATGGCTAAAATGCATGATCTGTTTGGTATTTTGAAAAAAAAAAAGTATAAATATGCCTTATATAGGTATGGTCCTACACTATATTATTCAAATATGGCATGATAGGTCCACTTTAAGCTAAAGAAAACTTTTACACACAAACAATTACATTTTAGTAAAAAGCAGTTTCACAAAGCTAGAACAGACCTGTTTTTGACCTTTTGGTCTCTGGTTCATGGAACAGTGATTGTTCGTTGATTAAATTGACTCTTTCAGCATAGCAGCCTGACAACGTTATTTTTAAGAAGAATCCTGAAAAGCAATCAGACACAGGTTCGTTTCTATTTGCTGTATCCACTGATGGCTTTCTTTGCATTGATTATTTGTAAGTCACCCATCTATGTGTCCTTAATAGCTTATCTGCTCTTTAGCCAACATCATGTGATGTAAAGCTAACTCATGGAGGAGTAAAAACCAAAACATTTACACCACCTGATGTCATATTCTTTGTTCTATAAGGAGTAATAACACCAGTAGAGTTTAAAATCAATCTGCAACAAAACAGCAGGTGCCAATCTGAAATAGACTCATGGTTGTCATGTTGTCATATCATGGCAGGAAATGTGTGTAATGACATTAATCATGGCTGCATGCCAATAGGGTTTTCCAGCTGAGCCGTCTGTGTGCATGCCCGCTCAGCTGGCACAGCCAAATGTAACCGAGCCATCAGGATGCTATTCGTTACACTTATGTGACTTATACCATTACTGATGGTCTCGTCATGTGAGTCACGTAAACCATGAGAGCAGTTTGTAATTTTACAATAATATCACCTAAAGCTTGAGACATCAAGCCGGATCAGAATCGGTTTTATTACCAAGTTACACATAGGAGGAATTTGCTTTGGAACATGTTGTGAATACAAAGACACAGAGAGAAGAATACGTAGCAAAACTAAATAAAATAAAAATAGGACTAGTATCAAAGCTTTTTAAACATTAATTTTTGCCTTTGTGCAAAGCTGAGCTAACTAGCTGCTAGCTCCATATACACATGCTAATCCAGTAAGTATTGATTGGGTTATTTGGTGATAACGGCACGTACTGTAGAGGAGCCATCTTAAAACTGTTTTATTCTGTGTCTAGTTCACATATAATTATATGTTTATAAGAACATTTTAAATGTTGCATTTCCAAAATAAAACTAAATGCTTAAATTAAGTCATATTTGAAAAAGATTGGTAAAATGGCTACAAAGCATGCCCTCTTCCACTAAAAGTAAATGTGTTATTTATTTTGAAACAAAAGCTAATTTAGCATCATATGAATTGTTATTGTGACATCATTACTTTTGTGTTAGACATTAAAGGTAGGGTAGGTAAGAAGGGAGAAACCAGCTCGAGTGCGCTAGAATTTGAAAATACACAACCGGAAAAAATCTGCCGCTTCCTTCAGACTTCCTTACAGAGCCCCTCCTCCAACACACACGGACGCGCACATGACCAATGAGGGCACGAGATAAGTTTGTGCACAGATGGAAGGCTGACAGGCACGTATGCCATCCAGTTATTTTAGCCGGGCTGGCTCAGATGATTGGTCGTGCTTTTTGCAGCACCACGGCTTCCACAGATGACATTTTTTTATGTATTTATTGTCAAAGCATTTAATATATTCATTGCTATCGGGATGTTAAGAGCATTCCATGGAATATAACAAACAGTGTTTCTGAAGTGAATTACCTACCCCACCTTTAAATGTGTCCACCCAAGCCCTATAGTGTAATAATACACTGAGAAGCTGGATGCTTTTTGTGTCATATTACGCTAATAAAGGAAAAATCCTCCAAACGGCAGATGTAGAAATAAAAAAGAACAGATGGGAATGGTTGAGTTTGAGGTGAAGGAGGATGGGGAGATAAAAGATGTCACGGACGAAGTGAGAGGAAGAACAGAGGGAGGGATGTGAAGGGTGTGAAAGAGAAGAGGAGGGAGATGAAAGTGAGGAGCAGAGGGTGAGGAGAGGTGAGGAGCAGAGAGGGGGATTCAAAGTGTCGCTGGAAATACAAGAGACAGGAGGGCTGTGAAACAACAACATTGTGAAAAAGACCCTTAAAATAGGAGCCTATATATGAGTTGCACATGCGAA